CCTCAATTATGCTAATGCTAGCTGCCTGTCACGTTCTCTCGTCCTGGCCACACCTCCACTCTCTAAACCCCCCTCCCCTACCTACACACCCTTCCCCTACCCACTTTGATGCATTTTTCAAATTTCGCCTTGGGGCGGAGTTATCTTTTCACAGGGGGGTAAGTTACACTTTAAGATTTTCTGAGTGGAAAACTGGGCTAAAAATCCACCAAAATATCTTGCTGTGTGAATCAGGCATAAAGTGCAGCACCGTCACGTATCTAAACATTTTCAACAAGCAGTGTATTTTATTTTATTTATTTATTTGCAATGGTGGGTCAGTTATGGCTTACCAGAATTCAAGAAYTCTTCCAGGCTTGGTTCACTAATCTTCACATATTTCTGTTCCTTATCAATTCTAGTTTTGATAAACATGATAGTATCTGCAACAAAACAACAAATGACAATGTTGAGTTATGTAAACAAATGCAAATGATTATTTTGGTATTTAATCTAACAATTTAAAATTGTCATATTATAAGAAAAAAAGATATAAAATAAAAATAATTAAGTAGGTCCTCTGGATGGGTTCTTCTTGAAACATTTAGTCTCTCCTCCATGAGACTTCTTCAGTCAGAAGAGTTTCAGGTAAACAGCCTTATAAGCACTGCCTCCACATGGTGGACACATGCAAAAAAGGACCATCAGCCTAACAATAGATCGTTAGTGCCCTGATCATCACCTATTGTTCATAGAGGATCATGTGCACCAAACACCTGACTATTGTTAGGGCCCTGATTATCACCTATTGTTCACAGGTCGCTGATTCGTACTTGCAATAACATTGTAAGAGGGGGACAACAGGGCACGGAGGCTTCTACTCCTATTTAATGATGGATGTTTTTTCTTCACAAAAATGGCTTCCTTTACTCCTCTCTCAAACCAATGTTTCGTTCTATCAAGGATGAGGACATCTTCATTCTGAAACAGTGATTTTTGGTGGGATGGTGGGGCCACCACCACCTACCTGATGGTTGGAGTCACTGCAGAAGTTTACGGTGCAGWACCAAAGAGTGACCACTGGCCTGTAGATGAGTGTAAACTGCAGAATCCTGGCCTGTAGATGAGTGTAAACTGCAGAATCCTGGCCTGTAGATGAGTGTAAACTGCAGAATCCTGGCCTGATGATGTNAGCTCGTGAAAAAGGGGGAGGGGATTTCTGCTTGACAAAACCCATGGTTTCACCCACATACTGCCATGACGTCATCACGTCGCCGTACGTGATGATGTAACTCGTTCAAAATCAAACGGCTCTTAAGAACGGCTCTGTGACACAAACCAGATCCCTTCAAAGAGCATTTATCCCATCACTATTAATAATATACTCCACGGTGGTGACAAATCAAATCTGATTCTCATGCTTTTCAACACTGCATTGAGTTATTGATGGTTAACACTGGAGGTTCATATACCTCCTATGAGCATGTCATGATCAGTGTTTTTGTCTTCATTTTCTAGTGTTTTTCTGTTTCCCTGCGTTTCCCTGCCCTGCAGCCCGCCCTCGCTCACCTGTCTCCTCTTGTGTTTCCCCAGGTGTTTCCCATTGTCCCTTAATTTGTTTGCTTTATATTCTGAGTCTTGTCCTCTGTCTTTGTCGGATCATTGTTCAGTCTGCCCTGATTGTGTCCTGCCTCTGCGTTACCTGTGACCTGGACTTACATGTGAGTTTTTTGTGCTGCACTGCCAGCCTTTTGAGTTAAATTAAAACCTTGTTTTCCATTTTTGAACCTGCCTGCGCCCTGGGTTTTTTGCCTGCATAAAACCTGATACAATGATCCGACCACGCACCCAGCCTGCAGGTAAAGGTTTTTTGGCCAGCCTTTTTACAAGGCAGATGATTTTGTTGCCCCTCCGCCCAGACCCAACAAGAATGATTTTTTTTCCTACCTGCCTCTGAGGAACCGGTCCCATCTCTGCCGCCGTGGGAGAAAGGGTCGACACACTCCCTGATCAGGGACTCCCTAATTGGCTCGTGGGATGAGATCTTACAGCCCCAGGGCTGAGGTTTCTCCGGAGAGAATCACAGCCGGCTTCCTTGTTTTGAGTTAGGAAGTCAGAGTCGTCAAAGCCATCCGGGTTAGTAATAAGAACGGACAAACTTTGGTTCCGCCCTCAGGCTTAGAGATGAGTCAGAGAAGAAAGATAGAGACTTGCCAGCCAGGCGCCAGTCGATGTTAAATTCTGTGGTTGTTCAACATAATCATGATAACCTCTTTAGCATCCTTCTGATAGACTCTAAGAGAAATCACTGCAAAACATTTATGGTGATTAACTATAACATTTCTGTTTTATAATCAGCTTTGAACCATTCTGTCAGTCCAAATAAATGAAAGATTTTCTCAGGAAAAATCCACAATTATATTACTGTGTTCACAGTAAAATAAAACAGTGATTTACATAAAAACACAACGAAAACATTGTAATCAGATTCTCTATGGTTTTTTTATACCATCATAAATCTTTAAGGCACAGTAAGAGAAAAGAAGTGATTCCACTTTCCTGTGACTGTCATTATCATGATTTCACAAATGCATAAACATTCTTAGTTAAACAACAAATGAATCACGAACAGAAGAGATTGTTCTGTCCATTATCTGATTAGGGGAACTGAGGAGTTCTCTTCTACGGTTAGAATGACCTGTCATGGCCTAAACAGAGTTCAGTTTGTGACAGAGTTCCTGTCCTCTCGTCAGGCCTGTCCAAGGCCTGCTTAGAGGCAGTAAATCTTGTTTCTTCACTCGTGGTGACCCCTACAGTCATCTGAATCTACTGGGTCATTTGAGTCTGTTCCTAAGTTTCCTGAGTTGGTGGTCCCAGTTCCGGAGTCGGTGGTCACAGAATTGCTGGTCCTGGTGGTTCCACAATCGGTAGTTCCGCAGTCAGTGGTCCCAGATTAGGTGGTCCCGGTGGTTCCACAGCTGGTGGTTCCAGAATCCGTTGTTCCAGTGACTCCTGAGATGGCGGTTCCAGTGCCCCGTGAGATGGTGGTCCCATTGTCTCCTGAGTTGGCGAGCGCCGAGTCGGCGATCCTTGAGATATGTGGGTCGGCTGCCGGTGCCTCCACAACATCTGGGTCGGCTGCTGGCACCTCCTCTTCGCCTGGGTCGTCGCTCGTCACCTCCTCATCGCCTGGGTCATCACCCATTGCCTCCTCATTGTCTGGGTCATCATCCATCACCTCCTCATTGCCTGGGTTATTGCCCATCACCTCCTCATTGCCTGGGTCATCGCCCATCGCCTCCTTATTGCCTCTGTTGCCTGAGTTTGCCGTCGTTGACATTCTCCGTCAACCTCCGCCGGCTCTTCGTCTGCCCCCGTCTCCTCCCTTGGCTCTTCATCTGCTCCTGTCTCCTCCCTNTCTTCATCTGCTCCTGTCTCCTCCCTTGGCTCTTCGTCTGCTCCCGCCTCCTCCCTTGGCTCTTCATCTGCTCCTGTCTCCTCCCTTGGCTCTTCTTCTGCTCCCACCTCCTCCCTTGGCTCTTCGTCTGCTCCCGTCTCCTCCCTTGGCTCCATGTCTGCTCCTGCCTCCTACTGTGGCTCAATGTTTGCTCCCTCCTCCTCCTGTGGCTCTATGTCTGCTGCTGTTCCTGCTGGGCCTAGCTTTAGATGGTCTCCTGGCCATCCTCCGGATCTTCTGCTCTGTGTGGGGTGGTCTCCTGGCCATCCCCCTGAACTCCTGCTCCATGTGGGATGGTCTCCTGGTCATCCACCTGAACTCTGTGTGTTTTGTCCTTGAGTCTGTGTTGTCACGTGTTTCCCTGAGTCTTCTCCATCTCCTCTTTTTGACGTTGGGAACCGTCGTTGAGGGGAGGGTCCTGTCATGATCAGTGTTTTTGTCTTCATTTTCTAGTGTTTTTCTGATTCCCTGTGTTTCTCTGCCAGCCCTGCCCTCACTCACCTGTCTCCTCTTGTGTTTCCCCAGGTGTTTCCCATTGTCCCTTAATTTGTTTGCTTTATATTCTGAGTTTTGTCTTCTGTCTTTGTCGGATCATTGTTCAGTCTGCCCTGATTGTGTCCTGCCTCCGTGTTACCTGTAACCTAGACTTATATGTGAGTTGTTTGTGCTGTACTGCCAGCCTTTTGAGTTAAATTAAAGACCTTGTTTTCCATTTTTGAACCTGCCTGCGTCCTGGGTTTTTTGCCTGCAAAAAACCTGATATAGTGTTAATTTGACACTCTACTGTGTTGATTATTTATTCTTCTGCTGTGTGAAACAGACATCACAAGGTGTCATTACACAGCAAATTGTTAAGTGTAAGTTTAACACATTAGAGTTAAGATCAACTCATTTTAGAGTTGCATTAACATTACACAGTAATTGCTGGATATGTGTAATGGAGTCGAGCTTCACACACCAGGAAGTACCTCTCACTCATGGTGTCGATTTTTGGCMAAAAACACAAACTTAAACTTGATCAACTGATAAAACTTGATCAACTGATAAACCTGAACTAAACAACTAATTTTTACTCTCATGAACTTCTTTAATAGTCATAAACATGCAAAAACATCATTTCTACAAGATTACCCAGCATTCCTTGCCGTGAAAATACTGGTCTGTCTGACATGAGGTGGAAAAGGGCGGGGCTTTTCAGAATACTTTTGTCAACAATGCATGGTGTTAAATAACAACTCTGTTAAGTGTTATATAAGACTTAACTGTGGGTGGGGGTTATTTAACACTGTCCAGTGTTGAGACAACACTGAGGAAATCAACACTGTGATTTAACATCAATACTGGAAGTCAGTTTACTCAGAAAGTGTTAAAAAWTRTTAGGGGGAGTTAAAYTGACCCTGAAAAGTTTAACACTGACATTTTAACACTGATTTTTACTGTGTATAGGATGGGAGAGTWGRAGATTTTAGYYTAATAGCTGCAAAAGCTGTATCTAWTTTTGTTTGCTAAGATTGTTTCTCTGTAGTGAACATCTTAAATTSACTCCAAAGGTTAATSAGTTGAAAATACAACCAAAAATAACTGAGCATTTTACTAAATTCATGATGAGACATTTTGTAAACAATACACACACACACACACACACACACACACACACACACACACACACA